TTACGCTACCGAGGAACCCCACATACATATTATGGCTGGGGTGGTGATAGCTGAAGTGAAGCATGTGAGAATGATGTTGGTGGCCGTTGCCCCGCCGATACCGCAAGGACGACCGTCACGGATAGTGGCCGCGCTCAGGGACCACCCCGTGCTCACCCCTTGTGGTGTCGAGAAAACGCCACGCCTGCTGTGCCCTGGACGACCGTCACGGATAGCGGCCGCGCTCAGGGACCACCCCGTGCGCACCCCCTGTGGTGTCGAGAAAGTGCCACGCCTGCTATGCCTGGACGACCGTCGTGCAAAGCGGCCGCGGTGAGAGACCACCCCCTGCGCACCCCCTGTGGTGTCGAGAAAGTGCCACGCCTGCTGTGCATGGACGACCGTCGTGCATAGCGGCCGCGGTGAGAGACCACCCCCTGCGCACCACCTGTGGTGTCGAGAATGTGCCACGCCTGCTGTGCCTGGACGACCGTCGTGCAAAGCGGACGCGGTGAGAGACCACCCCCTGCGCACCACCTGTGGTGTCGAGACAGTGCCACGCCTGCTGTGCCTGGACGACCGTCGTGCAAAGCGGCCGAGCTGAGAGACCAACCCCTGCGCACCCCCTGTGGTGTCGAGAAAGTGCCACGCCTGCTAGGTTTTGCGACAGTGTCGTGGATAGCGGCCGAGCTGAGAGACCACCCCCTGCGCACCCCCTGTGGTGTCGAGAAAGTGCCACGCCTACTAGGCTTTGCGACAGTGTCGTGGATAGCGACCGAGCTGAGAGACCACCCCTTGCGCACCCCCTGTGGTGTCGAGAAAGTGCCACGCTTGCTAGGCTTTGCGCCAGTGTCGTGGATAGCGGCCGAGCTGAGAGACCACCCCCTCCGCAAACCCCTGTGGTGTCGAGAAAGTGCCACGCCTGCTATGCCCACCCCTGTGGTGTCGAGAAAGTGCACGCTTGCTAGGTTTGCACGCTTGCTAGGCTTTGCGCCAGTGTCGTGGATAGCGGCCGAGCTGAGAGACCACCCCCTCCGCAAACCCCTGTGGTGTCGAGAAAGTGCCACGCCTGCTAGGCTTTGCGCCAGTGTCGTGGGTAGCGGCCGAGCTGAGAGACCACCCCCTGCCCACCCCCTGTGGTGTCGAGAAAGTGCCACGCATGCTAGGCTTTGCGGCAGTGTCGTGGATAGCGACCGAGCTGAGAGACCACCCCCTGCGCACCCCGTGTGGTGTCGAGAAAGTGCCACGCCTACTAGGCTTTGCGACAGTGTCGTGGATAGCGGCCGAGCTGAGAGACCACCCCCTGCGCACCCCCTGTGGTGTCGAGAAAGTGCCACGCTTGCTAAGCTTTGCGCCAGTGTCCGGTGGATAGGGCGCCGAGCTGAATGACCACCCCCTGGCACACCCCCTTGGTGTCCGAAGAAAGGTGCCACGCTTGCTAGGCTTTGCGCCAGTGTCGTGGATAGCGGCCGAGCTGAGGACGCCCCCCTGCCCACCCCCTGTGTTGTCGGAATAGACCACCGCCTGCTAGCTTTGCCCAGTGTCGTGGATAGCGGCCGAGCTGAGAGACCACCCCCTGCCAACCCCCTATGGTGTCGATAAAAGTGCCACGCCTGCGCTAGGCTTTGCGCCAGTTGTCGTGATAGGCCCGAGCCTGAGAGAACCACCCCCTGCGCACCCCCTGTGGTGTCGAGAAAGTGCCACACTTGCTAGGCTTTGTGCCAGTGGCGTGGATAGCGGCCGAGCTGAGAGACCATCCCCTCCGCACCCCCTGTGGTGTCGAGAAAGTGCCACGCCTGCTAGGCTTTGCGCCAGTGTCGTGGATAGCGGCCGAGCTGAGAGACCACCCCCTGCGCACCCCCTGTGGTGTCGAGAAAGTGCCACGCCTGCTAGCCTTTGCGCCAGTGTCGTGGATAGCGGCCGAGCTGAGAGATTACCCCCTGCGCACCCCCTGTGGTGTCGAGAAAGTGCCACGCCTGCTAGGCTTTGCGCCAGTGTCGTGGATAGCGGCCGAGCTGAGAGACCACCCCCTGCGCACCCCTGTGGTGTCGAGAAAGTGCCACGCCTGCTAGCCTTTTGCGCCAGTGTCGTGGATAGCGGCCGAGCTGAGAGACCACCCCCTGCGCACCCCCTGTGGTGTCGAGAAAGTGCCACGCCTGCTAGGCTATGCGCCAGTGTCGTGGATAGCGGCCGAGCTGAGAGACCACCCCTTGCCCACCCCCTTTGGTGTCGAGAAAGTGCCACGCCTGCTAGGCTTTGCGCCAGTGTCGTGGATAGCGGCCGAGCTGAGAGACCACCCCCTGCGCACCCCCTGTGGTGTCGAGAAAGTGCCACGCCTGCCAGGCTTTGCGACAGTGTCGTGGATAGCGACCGAGCTGAGAGACCACCCCCTGCGCACCCCCTTGTGGTGTCGAGAAAGTGCCACGCCTGCTAGGCTTTGCGCCAGTGTCGTGGATAGCGGCCGAGCTGAGAAACCACCCCCTGCGCACCCCCTGTGGTGTCGAGGAAGTGCCACGCCTGCTAGGCTTTGCGCCAGTGTCGTGGCTAGCGGCCGAGCTGAGAGACCACCCCCTGCGCACCCCCTGGAGTGTCGAGAGAGTGGCCCGCGCATGCAGCCTTTGCGCGACCGTCGTGGATAGCGCCGACTGAGGACCACCGCCCTGCCCACCTACTGTGGTGTCGAGAAAGTGCACATCGGAAGAGCTTGTCGCCGTGTCGTGGCTAGCGGTCCGAGCTGAAGGAGAACCACGACCCTGCCACCCCCCTTTGGTGTCGAGAGTGCCACGCCTGTTAGGCTTTGCGCCAGTGTCGTGGATGGCGGCCGAGCTGAGAGACCACCCCCTGCGCACCCCCTGTGGTGTCGAGAAAGTGCTACGCCCAGTAGCTTTTTTTGCGCCAGTGCCGTGGATAGCGGCCGAGCTGAGAGGCCACCCCCTGCGCACCCCTTGTGGTGTCGAGAAAGTGCCACGCCTGCTAGGCTTTGCGCCAGTGTCGTGGATAGCGGCCGAGCTGAGAGACCACCCCCTGCCCACCCCCTTTGGTGTCGAGAGAGCGCCACGCCTGCTAGGCTTTGCGCCAGTGTCGTGGATAGCGGCCGAGCTGAGAGACCACCCCCTGCGCACCCCCTGTGGTGTCGAGAAAGTGCCACGAGCTGTGCTGTGCTGTGCTGAGCTGAGCCGTGCTGGGCTGTGCTGAGCTGTGCTGAGCTGTGCTGTGCTGTGCTGAGGTGAGTTGAGCTGAGCTGAGCAGTGCTGTGACGAGGGGGGGAAGAGTGAAGTGTGTGTGTGTGTGAGTGAGGGGAGGAAGAAAGAGAGAGGAGGGGAGGTGTGAGGAGACGCGGGTGCGGCGCGGCAGGGAAGAAAACCAGAACCCCACGAAGCATGTGGGGAACCAAAGCACCACCCCACCTACGGCCCCCTGGGGCTTATAAGCGTATACCAAGAAATCTGGCGTGGGCTTTTGCGTGTTACGGAAAGTTTGTGCGGCGATGGCGCGCGCAAAGGTTTTCGACACCGCGTCGATCGTTCCAGCTCGAACCGATCGCGGCTCCGAGCCTTCAAAGTTGAATTCCATCGGGTCCAACGGCGTTACAGTGTCCCTCGGTGCTTCCGCCTCGCAGAATTCAACCTTGAATGCCTTCGCCAGCGTCGCCGGCGCGCCAACGCCGCATGAACCTACTGTATACGCTACGGCGCCCGATGAGCCGTAGCGCAACAAGGACGGCCGTAGGCGGGGTGGGGTCGTTTGTTTTGTTGGTCGACGGGTTGCCCTCAGCCCCCAATAAATTTTAGTCCCCGTTTCGGCCCTCCCGAGCCTCTGACCCAAACATCCGACGATGTGATTCTTCCGTGCGCGGCCCCAGTGGTCCCGACACCTACTCTAGGTTTCTTAATAAGCGTGGGGGGATACCCCCCCGACGGGGGTCAACCTTGCCTCGTCGTCGCGCCGCGACGGGGGTCGGAGCGCCTGCGGCGCGCGGTGGCTGCCCGCGACAGCGGTCGATGTGGGGCTGTCGACGGGGGTAACGCCCTCCCGATGCTGATTAAGAAACTCGGAGTACCCTCGGGGTAATTCTTCGTCCCAGATTCGGCCTCAAGGCCCGGCGCCTGACCACGGACCCAGGGGCCGACAAAGAAGCAGAACATCGGAACTGAGAAGATCGTATCGTGGGAGAGTCGGGCAGGCGGCAATGAGGGGTGACCCAAAATGGGAGGTGAAGAGAAGGGCCCCTTTAGGACCCTTTTTTGGCGGCGCGCAGAAAGGGGTGGAGGGAGGGAGGAAGGCTTCTTAGAAGCAGGCTGCTTCTTAGAAGGCGCTGGCCTTGCACCTATAGATAAGGCCCGCACCTTCTAAGAAGCAGGGGTGCTTCTAAGAAGCCCTCCCCCCACCCCCCTCTGTGCGTGGCTGACTTTTCTTCACCCCCCATGTGGGTCAACCCCCATTTCCACACGCCCGAGAGAGCGAGCTTTCTGGTCATAACTCGTGTCTCTGGCGTCCTGTCGGGACGATCCAGGCACCCCCAGAACGCTCGAAGCGAGGCGCAGCTGCCAGAGAGCGTCCCAAGGCTGGAAAGCGCAATGGCAACCCACAAAGCCACCCGAAACGAACTGATTCCGAAGATCTGGGCTCTCAAACTGCCTCCCTAAGAATGCCATGTGGGACCTGCTTCAGAAGAGGAACATACCGTAGACGGATCTACCGTTACTCCGACCTTGTACTGCGTCGAACGCAACGGCCACGTTGCCTACATACGCATCCACCCCGAATACATACATACATATATACACATATCGATGATACCGATGTGTATATGTATATAAACATACGTAACGGCACCCAAATGTGTTTACACACGCTCGTGGCTTGAAAGTGAGAACGGTATTTGGCATAGGCCCCAGATACTGGCACTCTAAAAGCAGGTAGACTTTGCCCTCCAAGGCCCCTCCCCCTCACCCTGCCCCTTCTCCAGAGCCGTCGCCCGGTCACCGTTGAGGCTCCAAAGGCAGCGCTCTCCTCCTCGTCGTCGTCGTCGCCGCCAGGTCCTCTTCTCCAGAGCCGTCGCCCGGTCGCTGGCGGAGGCGGCACTCTCGGAGTTCGCCCTCTTCTCATCTGCCCGCACCTTCGCCTTGAAGCTCTCGGCCCAGGCGAAGACGTCGTCCCCAGAGAAATGGGTGCCCTGCCTGACCTTAGGGGAACGAGAGAGAGGGAGAGAGAAAGAGGGCGACAGGGAGAGGGAGATGGGGAGGGGGCAATCTAGGTGCGCTCGCGCCATATCTGACGTCCTACCCCTCCCTCCCATCCCTTACCATGGAGTAGATCTCCTCTCGCTTCGCACAATCGGATGTCGCTGCATAGCATAGCGTTGCATGGCATAGCATTGCATGACATAGCATGGTGTTGGAGATCAACGCGTAGCATGACATGGCATGGAGTGGCGACGCCCCAAAGTGGGGGGGGGGCTTCTGCGGCCCAGAAAGGTCAAAAAATCGACACGGAATGTGGAATCAATTCCGATGGTTTTTTCGGGGGGGCGTTTTCTAGATCTTGGGGCCTACTTGGAAAGACCGAAAACCATACCGTGGCATGGCGCTGGAAATAATGACGCCAACGCTGCAGAAGCGCGGAAATGAGGCCAGCGCTGCAGCGGGAGCACGGTTCGGAACGAGCGGTAGCCCGAAAATGAGGCCAGCGCCTCAGCGAGAGCATCCTTTTTACGCAGAAAGGATCAGGGAAAAAAAAGGGGAAGCGCGGAAATGAGGACGCGAAGCCTGACATAGCATGGCGCGGCGACGCCCCAGGGGACTTCTGCGGCCACAAATAGTCAACGAATCGACACCGAATGTGTAATCATTTCCGATGGTTTTTCGGGGAGGCATTTCTAGATCTCGGGGCCGATTTGGAAGGACCGAAAACCATGCCGTGGCATGGGGCATTGCGCTGGAAATAATGACGCCAACGCTGCAGAGGGAGCACGAGTCGGAACGAGCGGAAGCGCGGAAATGAAGCTACAACTGCAACGGCAGCACGATTCGGACCGGGCGGTAGCCCGAAAATGAAGCCAGCGCTTCAGCGAGAGCAGCATCATGAAAAAAAACATAAAGCGAAAACCCAACTCCCGGGAATCCTGCGTAAAGAACCTACACGCGGAAGGGGTGCCGAACATTTCCCGGACGCCAGAAACAGAGGGAGGAGAGCAGTCTTCATATTGAGTGATTGGAGAGAGAGAGAGAGAGAGGGAGAGAGAGAGAGAGACAGAAGAGAGAGAGAGAGAGAGACAGAGAGAGAGAGAGAGAAAAAATAAAAAAAAAAAAAAAAAAAAAAAAAAAAAAAAAAAAAAAAAAACATATATATATATATATATATAACGGAGAGAGAGAGAGAGAGAGAGAGAGAGAGAGAGAGAGAGAGAGAGAGAGAGCGCACAAATAGTCCGGACAGGCCGGGCTGCCCCGCCCCCGCGGAGGAGTGGCGCCGCGCGGGCCAGCCTCACAAAGCGGGAGGGACAGGGACAGCCAGGGTCTAGCATCCGACGGGGCGGAAGCTAGCCGCGCAGACCTGGGGGGGGGCCGCGCCCCCGCCGAGAACGGCGCGCACGGGCGCCCCGAGCCACGCCAACACCCAGTCTGAGGCGGCACCTACGCAATGCGTCGGCGCCACCCCTGAATGGGCGGTGGACGCGGCTCTCGCCCAGCAAGCACCTCGTCTCTAAACCAAGCTTGGCCCGAAGACGCAACGCCAGCACATGGGGCGAGGAGCTTGCGCCAGATCGGCGCCTCGATGAGACAGCGCGCCGCGCAACGGCGGCAGAGCAAGTAGCGGCCAGACGCTTGAACGACGTGGCCCCCGAAGACAAAGGCGCCTGGAGGCTGCATCGGGGCCTCCGTGGGGGGCCTCGAGCCCCAGAGTCCTGAGGGCACCCTGGGCGGCAGCGCCACGCGCCCTGGGCGGGGCGCCGCCGCGCCGCCGGGCACGCACCCAGGAGAGGTAGAGGTGGGGGGCGGTGGGAGCGCAGCTCGCACCAGGCTGCTCGAGCTTCTTCCTGCTCAAGGCGGTCCGCGCCGAGCAGTGACACCACGCGCACCTCTCGCCCCCCGTGGCCCCGCCCACCACCCCCAGATCGTGCGAAAGCAAAACGAGCTTGGGGGTGCCATCCCCACGCACTCGCACGGGCGCCGGCAGCTCAGGAGCCGAAGCAGCGGCGTGCTGCGCAGCGCGCGAAATGACATCAAATGTCCGATAGCACTCCTTGAGCTTCTCGCGCAGCTCTGCTATGACGACGTCAGGCACCATGTGATCAGCTGCTCCGAACCGCGCAAAGAAGACAGCCCAGGCGCCCCCGATGCAATCGACGACCCTCACGCCGAGCGACTCACAGGGAAACACCTGGCCCCCGAGAATCTCATCCAAATCCAGGTGCGCAGGGGTCCAGCGGAATTCAGGCCTCTCAGGCCTGCCCCTGTACAAATCAAAAATCCACCGCCAAATCGAGGCGCGCCTGGCCGAGCCAGCAGCCAAACCAGGGCCCCAGGACACTCCTTCCCTGACAGTGGACAAATGGTCAGACACAACTTCCAGGCCCCACGGCCCGACCTTCAGGGCGCGGAGGATAGCCTCGCGTTCGGCCCGCGGAACCGTCTGGACGGGCCCCGCCAGGGGCCCGAAGTCAGCCCGCACGGGCCATCCCCCAGGAGAGAGGGCCACAACCGACCAGCCACATCGCGTGGCCTCAGGGGTCCCCGACGCCAGGCCACTCCCGTCCGTGCACAAACGAAAACCCAGGGCGCGGCGGTCGCGCCCCAGGAAAAAAACTTCGCATGAGCGGCGGCAGCAGGGATCACGACAGGGAGAGAGGGCAAACCGTAAACCAACTCAGGAGTGTCGAAGTCGGGGGGGGGGGGGGGGGGATCCCATACGCCTGCTCGCTCAGCCATTTACGGTGCTCAAAACAATCGTCAGGCAGAGCTGGGCTCTCGTCGGGCTCGTTACCCGCTGCCCAGAGCCCATCGCATTCGTAAAACTGATGACCGAACGTTCCCTGCTGGTGTTCACAGAAATCGCACTTGCTACTGGAGGCAAATCCGCGTTGGAACTTGCGCGCTGGTGGCCACATGGCCCCCGACCAGAGGGCCCTGAGACAGGCCCTGCGGGCGCCCTGGAGCCTCTGGAAGCCCAGCCGAAGAGCTCGAACCCAGATGACCTCGTGCCCATGGGCCTCGGGGGGTGCCAGACACCAACTGAATCCCCTGGGCTCTACTGGTGCCCTCGCGTAGCAGCACTCGCACGTCTTCGGGTGACGTGAACAGGAGTGAAAGAACCTGCTGCTGGTCCGTCCTAATATGATGCGGCCCAACGAGCTCCCAGCCTACGCGCTGCAAGGAGACCATCACAGCTCCCACGGGCCCCCTGACCTTGGACCAGTGGGGGGCGGAGCTGAGGGCCCTCGACGCGCGCTCCCACGCGCAGCGCATGTCGGAGCCTCGCGCACGTCCATCCCAGACCCAGCAGCAAGATCTAAACACGAGAGGAACCGTTGCATCAAACACTGGATCGTAAAACTTATCACGATGCGTGCACAAGTAAGGCGTCACATGACTACGGCCTTTGGCACCTAGTAGAGAAGCTGCAAGCGATCGGAGCGAGCGCAAGGTGGCGTCTGTGACACCTGAGACCGCAGCGCAATGGCTGCCACAAGGTATCAGACCCGTCCTCCAAAGTCCCGCCACCTTCTCCCCGCCCGCCGATCGACGCAATGCCGTGAGTCGTTGTCTACGTGAACCCAGCCGCCTTCTCCTACGAGCTTCCATGACCCTCAGGACTCGTCGTCCGTACAGATCGTGGCCGAAATTGCGCATGTGCTTTTGATTCTTAAACCCGATCGAGCGGCCTGCCAGGCGAAGTTACTCTCAGTGGCCCGGACCCGATGCAACAAATCCCGACTTGTTCGGCTGCAACAGGAGGCCAATCGGGCCTACTGCGCGACATAGCTCGCGCACCGCAGCTAGGACAACCTGAGCTTCGCGCTTGCCAGGTCCGCCCCATTGCAAAGACACATCGCCCCTGAGCGCACGAGCTCTCGCGGACGGAAATCGCGCCACGATCGAGCTGACAGGCCAGAGCAGCACAGCCAGCACGACTGCGGATGCTGCCGAGCACCCTGCAAGCATGCCCTGAAAACTTACGTAAGCTCCGGACAGGGACCCGTACGCGTCGACCCGTCTGGGGGCCATGTAGCTCTGCATGAGCATCCACCAACCTGGGAGGAAAGCCCACCTGGCGAAATACCTGAAACAAAACCGACCGTTTAATCATATCGTAGCATTTGACCATGTCAAGCAACAACGCAACGCTGCGATGTCCGCGCGCCTTCGCCACCTCGGCGGCTAAATTTAAATCGAAGGCGGAATCGCTAGAGCCCCCCCCCTCCCCGCCCCCCAGAAGACGTCACTGAGAGGCTCTATCCTAGCGGCGATCTCCCACATCTCGGACTCGGCTCTGCGGAGCCGGCCCCAGACGCGAAGAAGGGAATCGAGGAGGGCGATCAAACGGCGTCCGCCGTCTGGTTTCGCAAGCCGAACCAGGCGGCTGACGAGCCGCCCTGCGGGCCAATATCCCACTCGCTCGCGGCCCATGGGAAGGGCGGCGGGAGCCGCCAGGATGCCGTCAGACAAATACTGTCAAGACCTCGGGTGGATACTCAGGCATCCGACCGCTGTGCGAGGGGGGAATTTGGCAATCGCCGCTCGCGCGTCGGCAATCGCGATGTCGGGGAGCGGCGGCCAATCATCGAAATCGGGCAGAAGCTCGGGCTCGCGGCATCCGTGGGTCGACCAGATGTGGGCCCAATCCGAGCAAGTCGCGGCCCATGGCGGCCTTCGTAGTCCTTGCGGTGGGGCCCGACGACGTCGTGCCTGTCCAGCAGCTCCCGCTCGGTGCCCCGCACGGCACGGTCCCAGAAGGTCGCGAGCTCGTCTGCTGAGGTCGCTAACTTCATGTCGCGGCAGAAAATGGCCCAGCCCCTGGGGCATCGCGAGCAGCCAGGCGGCACCAGCACAGGCATGGCCTTAGGCTGCCGCGCCACGCGCACCCACATGACGGCATCAGGCCCGCGCACCTGCACACAGACGGGCCGATGGGGCGCCAGGCTAGCAGTCACGCAAACCTCGGGCGCCGACGTGCGAATCGCCATGTTCGCACTCATCACAAAGAAATCGATCACCGTGCCAGGGGCCGCCTGGGTGCACGCGGGCGTGGTCGTCGACACGGTGACCCCGCCAATAGATGCAGCCCAAGTCTTCAGTAAGGCCGGGTTCATGTTGAAATCTCCGCCCAACACCCATTCGTCACAGATTGCTTGCACACGGTAAATGAAGCTCGCGATCTCTGTCAGCATTCTGATATTGTTCGGCCCAAACAACTCGTCAACCCACAAGTGCGCAGAAATCGCAGAAAAAAACACATTTGATCTTAGAATGAACATGAGCGGCCACAGCTCTGGACGGCACGATAGCCCCAGCAAGGGCCAGCGGCGGGCAAGTAATCTGCACATTCGTAGGACACAGCACTGCCACGCCGCCTCTCGACCCTCGGGTCTCCGTCGGCTCCGCTGCCGTCCACACACCGTGATACCCTGCTGCTGCCAGCCTAGCCTGGTATGGCCCTAGCTTGTCGCTGCACAGGTGGTGCTTTTGGCAGCAGAGCACCGACGGCCCCGTGCCCAAGGCTGGCTGATCTGCCTCCAGCATCTCTGCCAGGGGCCCGTGAGAGGAAGAACTTACTGTCACCAATTGCATCATCATGATGAGGAGAAGGCACAGTCGGTCAGGCGGTACACCGGTGCTTCTTGGCAAAGTTCGAGAGCGACTCGCCTGCCCTCTTGACTGCATCCCGCAGCTCCTCGTCATCTTCGGGCACCTGCATGTTGATCGACTGGAGGAATGCCCGCAGCACCTCTGGGCCCCCGTCCGCGCGGGGGATCCAGGACGGCGTGCCAGGGGCGGCGGCGCCTCCAGCTCCGTTGGCTGCCACGCCCGGGGGCGGAGCGCCTGGGGCGGCGGCGGCGGCTGCGGCAGGGCTGTCCGCACCTGGGCCCCGCCCCGCTGCCTGCTGGGCCGCAGCGGCCACCTCCGCTGCGCGGCGCTGCTGCTCCGCACGGTGTGCTGCCTCCGCCGCGCGCACCTCCTCCAAGCAGCCGTGGAGCCGCGCCGCCAGGTCCCCCGTCCCGCCAAAGGAGGCGAGCAGCTCGCCCAGCTTTTCCACCGACAGCTCTTCGGCGGCGACGGGCAGCACCTGGCCGAGCGATGGTGGCTCGCTGGCCTGAGGCCGCGGCACCTGCGCCACCAAGTGGCGGCGCTCCTCCTCGAGCTCCAGGAGCTCGGCGCAGAGGCGGTCCAGTGCCGTGGAGGCCTCGGTGACCGCCGCCTCCGCCGCTCGCACCTTCTCGCGCAGAGACATGACCTTTTCCCTGCGCTTCTCTAACTTCTGATGCTGGAATGACATCTTCTTGAACCTGGTGTCCAAGCTCTTGCCCGCCACGAGTCGCTTGCGCAGCTCGCTCTGGCGCGCACGTAACTTGTCCCTGGCCTCCACGAGCTCCACGCACGACGCCTGCTCCAGCGCCGCGAGGTTCGAGCCCACGTCCGCCAACTCTCGTTTGATGTCAGCGTCGGGCCCCTTGCCGAAGTCATCCACTTCCATGGCATCGGGCCCTCCGCCGCTCTGGTGATTATGATTATGCTGGCTCTTGAGCTTGGACAGCTCGGCCCGCAGCTTCTTGAGCTCGGCCTCGTGGCCGCCAGCGCCTCCCGCAGCTCGAAGATTCGTGCTGGGTGCATGGCCGACGACCTCCTTTAGACCACCAAGCGCCGTCCCTTTATGCTCTTTGCATAACTGGCATCTGTCCTGGTCCGCTCTGTTCCACCACCGATCCCCTGACGAACTCGACCAGCAATGCTTGCAGTGCCAGGGCCTTGCCCATGCGACACGCTGCCGTTTGTGCCCGCTCTGCACTGGCCCTGAGCGAGAAACATCCTGCCTTGCAGGAGGTCCCATGTGCCAGCCGTGAGAGAGGTCAGGGAGTTGTACAAGCGGGCACCTGCACGAGAAACGAGCGCGCCGTGAGGTTGCGCATGCAGAAAGCATGCGTGAAGAAAGACTGTGAGGGCAGCGTCCCCCTCGTGCCACAGTCAAGGTCCCTGAGCCACTGCTACGGACCTTGAGCCAAAATGGCTACGGACCTCACAAAGCGGGAGGCGCCGCAGAACGAGCTGGGGTGGGGAAAAGAACCATCCCTCCTCGTCGCGCCCTTTATAATTGGCTTGTTTTCCAGCACCACCACCATAAGTTGGAGGGGTAAGGGGGTCCTCCTCCTCCTCCTCCTCCTCCTCCTCCTCCTCCTCCTCCTCCTCCTCCTCCTTTTCCTAGTCCTCCACCTCCTTCCCCCCTCCAACTTCAGGTGGTGGTAGTGGGAAAAAGGCCCATCACTTTGTCTGCTGGAAAACAGACTCGCTGGTCGAGCACGTGCGTTGGAACGGATCGCTGAACCAAAAAAAGAACCCCGACCGGGGAGAGAAACGGGTCTGTGGCGATCAGGCCGCGGCACGGCCCGTCTGCACACACACACACACACACGAGGCAGCAGGCGCCGGCTTTTGGCGCGCCTCGGCATGTGCGCCTCGGTGCCTCCGTGAACCATGGCGCCGCTTCGGGGCGTACAATAGGGGCCCGACCACGAGAAACCTTCCACAAGAAGCCCAACCCTGAGACTCCAGGACGTCCATGGACTTCTGGTGTGGGAACGTCACGCTCTCCATCGCAGAACGGTCGAAACCCAAGAAGCCCAGGGCACCCTGGAGGCAAGGGTCTCCACTGGCAAGGGCCTCCACTGGCAAGGGCCCAGCCCAGGGGTGTTTCTTGGCATGGGTCTCCACTGCAATTGCCCCGCAGCGGCCCAGTGCGAAGGCTGCGGATCAGTTGCTGGTTCTTCTCGCAGCGCGCACGGGAGAGGGGGCGCTGGCACCGGTGCGCCTGGCGGTGAGCACCCAAGGTGCGCCTGGAGGTTGCCCTGGAGCGAAGCCCCAAGAGAAGCAGCAGGACGGAAGGCCTGTTGCAGGTCGTTCTAAGCGTCCTGAGCTCGATGGAGCCTGTCCAGCAGAGGGCCAGATGGCTCCTGCATGGCTCGAAGGGTCTGCACAAGATGACTAGATCGCTATTGCCGTGCCGTGATGCTAGCACTGAGGACGGCTCCGCGTTCACGATCTGGCTGTTGCCTTGCAGCAAGATGCTGCGTGAGGGCATGCCTGCAGTCCGCTCGCTGCATCACGAGTCAGACGGGCCCTACTCTGTGACGGGTTGCAGGTGGGTCGCTGCTCCCCGCACCCTGGCGGGAGGGAGAGACGACCTGGTAGTCGGGGAGAGTGGCTGTAGATGAAGGGGCCTTGGGACACACAAATAAATACACACATATAAAAGGATTCCCAAGATTTTCCAATATTTTCTGGGTTTTTGTCTTCCCCCAATTTCCCATATTTCCCCATATTTTCTGGGGAATCGAGGATGAATTGTGTCTGTGTGTTTTTTTCCTCCTGAGTAGAGGCGGAGTCCTGGTGGACCTCCGACACTTGAGACGGGCACTCTGAGTCTTGGCTGACGCCAGGCTGTGCTTTCGTCGTCGGCGTCGCGCCCGCAAGCATTGTGACCTTCTAATGGAGTAGCGTTATTTCCATCATCGGGTCCTGATCTTCGCCTTCGAAGTCGTCGAGTGGGGCTCCCCAAGGATCGTCGAGATCAGCGAAGAAGTCAAGCCCTGGTGGGTCATGCGGTTGAGAGAGGGCGAGGGAGAGGGAGAGAAAGAGCGAGGGGGAGAGGGAGAGTGAGGGAGAGAGAGAGAGAGGGAAAGTGAGACAGAGACAGAGAGACAGGGAGGCGGAGAGACGGAGAGACAGAGAGACAGGGAGACAGAGAGAGAGATGGGCGAGAGAGAGGGACAGGGGCAGAGACAGAGAGAGAGGAGGGGGGGGGAAGCGACAGAGCGACAGAGCGACGGGCAGAGAAGACGCCGGCGGACTGCACCAGCACCGACGGCCCCGGCAGGGGCCCAACCCTGGCCCGCCGGGGCGACCGTTCCCCGTGCCTCGTTCGGCTCCGTGCGCGCCTTCGTGCCGCAAGATGGTCCAAGATGCTCGCCGATGGTCCCCGCCAGGGAATGTTTGAATGCTTGTTTTTTTTTACCACAAAAAGCGTCGACGCCTCGAGGCCCCGACCCCTTCCCGGGGACCGCCGTGTCCTCACCCCGAGTCGCTCGTTGACACACCCACGGGCCCTGCTGGGGCCCCCAGAAGCCAGAAGCGGCCACAAACCTCTCGAGCTTTCGGTTCACGACGCAGGGGCATCTGGGCAGGCGTGCAGCCGGCATCCCCCGGCGGCCTGCATCGCGCACTCCATGTGGTAGTTGGTGTCGAACAGCCTCTGAGCTGTCACGTGCTCGAGACACTGCAGGTCTTCGCGCTCGACCCAAGAGATGCAGTCCACTGGGCAGGCCTCGATGGCCCAGTGGATCTCGCACTCTGCGTCCTGAGCCCCACACACAGAAAAAAAATCCGCCGCAGTGGGGCCACCAGGCTGCTAGGCTTGCTGCCCCCTGCACCAGTTGCAGGTTCCAGTTTCCAATGTGATAGCTCTGCCTTCTGCTTCCTACTGTAAACTGTTAATGAACGCGCGACGGGGTGGAGTCGAAAGTCATTGGATTTACCACGCCCCTCCGGGATTCCCAGAATTCCTGGGGGTCGTGGGACATGTAAAAATACGTGAGAGTCGCGCCCCCGAGGCCAGAAATCCTGTCAATTATTCCATATTCGCGTCACCAAGGACATAAACCCTCATCGATTACGAAATGCTTGCGTCCCCGAGGCCGCAAACCCGCATACATTACGCCATCTCCGCGTCCCGAAGGCCATGGAACCTCGTAAATCATATAAGATTCGCGCCCCCGAGACCACAAACACACCAAAAAATATAATATTTGCGTCCCCGAGGACACAAGGCTTTGTAAATCACTTCATCTTCGCGTCCCCGAGGCCGTATTCGCGCCCCCGAAGCCATAAACCTTTTGGTAAATCACTTAGCTTTCCCGCATAGCCCCCTGTAAATTACTCACTATTGGCGTCCCCGAAGCCATAACCCGTTGTAAATTACACATGACTCGCAAAGCCAGAAGCCCTCGCACATTTCGCAATCTTCGCATCCCCGAAATCATTAAACCCTTGTAAATTACAATATTCGCGTCCCCGAAGCCACAAGACCTTGTAAATTAAACCATTTTCGCGTTTCCGAGGCCATAAACTCTTGTAATTTACACCATACAACTCTCGCCCATGAGGCCACAAATCTTTTTTGAAAAATACAAACAATTGCGTCCTCCGATGCCACGATCCTTGACAATTATGCAATCCCCGAGCCCCGAGGCCACGATCTTTTATAAATTACTACATTGCGCGTTTCCGAGGCGACGAACCTTGGTACATTACAATAGTCGCGTCCTCGAGCCCACTATCCCTCGTGATTTACGCCATATTCGCGCATCCGAGGTCACGACCATTCAAAAATCACACCAGATCTTCGTCGCTGAAGAAATAAACTCTTGTAGATTACATCAGATTCGCGCCCACGGGGCCACTACCCCTCTAAATTATGGAATAGTGGCGTCCCCGAGGCCACGACCCCACGTAAATTGCGCCATGCTCGCAACCCCGAGACCACGGCCCCTCGTAAATTACTCCACTTTCGCGTCTCCTAGGCTTGACGTTCCCAGATGCGCCAAGGCAGCGCCGAGACGCACCGACGCGACTCTGATAGATCCCATTCTGTTAGAGAGGGGGCCGGCGGCAGGGGGCGAAGCCCTTACGGGTTGCAGAAGAACAGCAGCAGAATTGAAAAAAAACGCGAGCCGCCAAAAAAAGTAGGAGCTGGCTGGCACTCCGCGCGGGGGCGGGAACGCTGCACCTCCAGTGATGGGCTGCGCCCCCGTCAAAAGCCCATCCTGGGAAGAAGTGCTCCCACTCTGGCGGGGAAGCGTTCCCAGCCCCACTCCCTTCTGCCGAGAGGGGCGTGGCAGGTGATTCTCTTTCGCTCCCTGCGTCCCCCCACTGGGCGAAGGCGCGGGCCTTCCCGCTCTTGGCGTTCATGCAGAAGGTGTGGGGCGCCGCCGTGGTGCAGTTCAGGCAGGAGATGCAGCTGTAGGGGTCGACGTACGCAAACATCCGCTTCTCCCACATCTCGCCGCGCTCCTCGGGCGGCCGCTTGTCCCACTTGGACAGCGAGCGGGGGGTGCCCGTCCAGGTGGGCTCCTCCTTCAGCGCGTGAGGGGAGCGCGTCCACGTGGGCCCGAGATCCTTGCAGATCTCAACCTTTGGCTTCGTGGGGTCGCGCCTGGCGAGAGTCACGTCGTACAGGCTTCTTTCGTCTGGGTCCGAGAGCACCCGGTACGCGTCGTTCAGGAGGATCATGAGCTCGCCGCTCTCCTCGCCGGCAACGTCCGGGTGGCTGATCTTCAGCTTGGCCCTGTAGGCGGTCTTGATCTCGCTGGACGCCGCCGTCCTTCGAACGCCGAGGAGCTGGTAGAGGTCCGTGGGCACCCTCACCTCTCGGCGGCGAGCAAAAGCCGTGCAAGAAGAATTGGACCTGTAAAAACACAAGTTTTGGGAGGTCCGTGCGGATTTCTGTTTGGATCCAAGAAATCCGCGCGGACCTCCGAAATCTGATGCTGGCTCCGCCTCATATTATTATGATTATTATTATTAATAATGAGTATGATGATAATAATAATAATAATAATGATAATAGTAATAATGATAATAATAACAATAATATTAATGATAATGATAACGATAAGAATAATAATTGTACTATTGATATTCTTATTATTGATATTATTGTTCGTACTACTCTCAGTACGACTATATTGCTAATACTCTTACTGGCCAGACGGCCAGACCACATCAGTTCAGGGTATCTCTGAAGCCAGAGTTGCGAGGACGTCTCTGGCGAAACTGGCCGGACCACCCCCGATGTCGGCGGATGTCTCTGAGCGCTGGCCCCTTGGCCAGAACTAGCTTCTACAGCAACAGGACCCCAGTCAGCACAGCTGCTTGGGGAAGCGCGGTAACTGAGGGCGTGCGAACGGGAGCGGAAGGGGGGGGCACGAGAGACGAGGAATGGGTAGGAGGGAAAGGGGGCAAGAAAGGCGACATTCCCAGCTGGGCTTCCCTGGTTGTGCCGTGCTTTGGATGTAATGGGTGCTTTGGATGTAATGGCATGTGCACTCGCTGACACGACAACGCGGCCCGCACAACCCTTTGGACAGCCCCGCAAGGATCAGGACAACCCCCCCCCGGACAAAATCCCCTGGGACAAGCCTCCCCAGGTTATCTGTTCCATAAGATATTAGGATGATAAGAATACGAAGACAATAACAAGAATACGAGTAATAACAAAACAATGAGAGAATTACTAATAAGAATGTTATTTAAAAATAATAATAATAATAACAATAAACCTAATCATAATAATAATAGTAATATTATTAATAATAGTAATAATAATAATAGTAATAATAATAATAATAACAGTAGTAGTAGTAGTAGTAGTAGTAGTAGTAGTAGTAGTAGTAGTAGTAGTAGTAGTAGTAGTAGTAGTAGTAATACTAATAATACTAATAATAATAATCAGCAAGAACAGTCAGCATCATCATCATCAGCAGCAGCATCATCAGCATCAGCATCAACAGCATCATTATCATCAGCATCATCATCATCACCATCATCAGCAGCATCATCATCTCCAGCATCTTCTTATTCCCATATTATAAGATGGGGCTCTGGTTGTTACTCAGACGCCAACGACTCACACTTGTCACCTCCCTCCCCCCTTCTCCTCCTCGTGCTTACTCATACTCACTCATACTGAAACTCACGCTCACACGCAGACCCACTCACACTCAGAGTCACTGAAACGCAGACTCACTCTCACCCATACCCGCCCATCCGAAGACTCGCACATACTCATAGCCAAGCGCACACACCACTCTCACTCAGATCCACTCACACCTTGCAGCAACGCGAAATTAAGATTCTGACAGTGAGTCCCCCAGGCTCATCATGATGGACCAAGCGTCACATTTGAGCACCTCAATGAACAGCCGCCACGGGGTGGGATATTTGCCCGTTCGCCGCCACAGTGTGGGATGTCTCAGGCGGTCTGCTTGATTGGTGGACTGGGCATCTCCCTCTCCTGCGCCCCATGACCATCGCGATGTAGCACGCGCGGCACCAGGACACCCCAAGAGGGGCCACCAAGGTGTGGGACAGTTGCCCGTCCATGTCCAGATCGCAAGAATGTCTCGGGCAGATTGGACTTCTCTCCGTCCAGAACCCCATGCGAATCGCGATGTAGCAGGCGTGGGGCATTCGCCCGTTCGTACCCAGATAGTGGAGATGCCTCAAGCGGTTTACTTGTTTGGTGGCTTGAACTTCCCTCTTTCCAGAGCCCCACGCCAATCGCGATGTAGCACGCGTGGCCTCTGAGCATGCCTCAAGGACGGGCTCGTTCGCGCCCGTTCGCGCCCAGATTGTCGGAGGTTGGGGGGTGAGATCGAAGTGGAACGGAGAGCCCCCCTACCGGGAAATCGATTTCGGCTTCGTGTTCGTGCCGTGCGTACGGGCGAGGCGAAGCTGCGTGGGCGGGGGAGAGGAAATTCTACTGTGGCTGGGCCGCAGCTGGACCAAAAGGTCCTCCGCCCGGCAACTGGTGGCGCGCGGTGTCCCGCCGGTGTCCCGCTGGTGTCCCGCTGGTGTCCCGCCGGTGTCCCGTCGTGGCTGGGCCGCGGCCGGACCAAAAGGTTCTCCGCCCGGCAGCCGGTGGCGCGCGGTGTCCCGCTGGTGTCCCGCTGGTGTCCCGCTGGTGTCCCGCTGGTGTCCCGTCGTTGTCCCGTTGTGTCCCGTGGTGAGATCGACAGTGAGATCGATAGTGAGATCGATAGTGAGATCGATAATGAGACCGATAGTGAGATCGATAGTGAGATCTATAGTGAGAGATTGATAGTGAGATCTATAGTGTGATCGATCGTGATATCGATAGTGAGATCGATAGTGAGATCGATGGTGAGATCGATAGTGAGATCGATCGAGTGGGATCGATAGCGAGACCGATAGTGGAATCGATAGTGAGATGAATAGTTGTCCATTGCTGGCCCCCTCCCCCCCCAACCTCCTTATCACCCGCAGGGTGGTCGTATAGGTAATTAAGAATGTCTCTGATGCTTTGCTTGTTTGGTGACTTGGACTTCTCTCTTTGACCATGGCGGTGAAGCAGGCGTGGCGTTTGAACCCCCAAGGAGAGGCTGCCAAGAGGTGGGGCATCTGCACGCGCGCGCTCAGACTGTGGGGGTATACCAAGCAGGGTGCATGTTTGATGGCTAGGACTTCTCTCGTCTACGATCCCCGTGCTCATTGCAACGTAGCAGGCCTGGCACTTGAGCACCCCAAGGAGGGGCCGCCAGGGGTGGGGACAGCTTCCCGTTCGCTCCCAGATTGCGAGATTGTCTCAGGCGGTTTGCCTGTTTGGTGGCTTGCAGTTGGCGCGTGACGACACCCGGCAAGCAGGAGGCAGGCCGGACGGCAGCTACAAGATGGAGCACCAGGGGCTGGTGGACGAGGCGGTGGTGGCCTCGGTGGCCCGCATCACGCGTGCCACGTACGGTGTTGCGTGGAGGCAGTGGACGATGTTCTGTCGCATCCGTCGGCGCTCGCCTGTGCTGCACGGGGAGACCAGGGAGGAGCGGCACCAGGACAACAAGGAGGAGCTTGCTGCTGTTCATGGCCCGCTTGCACAGCAGCCTGCACAGGTCGCATGGCACGATCCGTTCGAAGCTCCTCGGCATCCGCTCCCAACATGTGATGCTGGGAGAGCCCGAGCCGCTGGCGGGGAAGCCCCGCATCTGCACGGCGCTCAACGGCATCGAGAGGTGGCAAGGCCCGGGGCAGAGGAATCTACCGGTGACGATCCAGATGCTGAAGCGGATCAGGAGCATGCTGAGCCCGAATGGCTGCGCCGACGATGCGGCCCTGCACTTCTGCGTGATCTTCGCCCTCTTCTTCACGATGCGGGTCGGGGAGCACGCTCACTCTGGACACTGGGACGTGACGAAGGTGCTGACGCAAGGGCTCCCAACGTCGCGCTTCGCGCTGCGCGAGAGCGCGAGGTGCGAATAGCTTCGCGCCCTCGCGCCGCCTTCCAGGGGAGAAGAGGAGGATAAGGAGGAATCGGAGCCGAACCGCGAAGCGCGAAGCGCGAATAACTTCGCGCCCTCGAGGGCGCCCTTGCTGACGGGACTGGACATCGCCCCGACATGCCAGGGAGAGCAGGCGAGCCGCTCCGCCGCGGCGGATGAGGGGTGGTCCTCTGGCTCAAGTCGTCGAGGGCGGATCAGAAAGGAGGCGGACAGGCGAGGAACCACTTTGGACGCCCAAAATGGGTACGGATCAAATGGGTACAATGCCCAACAACAAATGTTGTCCCAAACCAACAGCGGCCGCTGTTGGGCAGGCGGCCTTCTGTCTCGAATGGACGCAGGCCGCGGCGGCGTGGACAGTGAATCCTGTTCAAAATGAACAAGAACTGCTGTTGGGCATTGTGCCCATTCTTTCCGTGCCCATCTCGGGCATCCAGAACCACTACCGCTCGAACGACCAGGACGGGATCTGCCCGACATGGGCGGCAGAAGGCTGCAACCGCTGGCTCCCGAGCAGGCGGACGGGCAAGGAGGCGCACCTTCCGCTGGCGAGGTGGGAGGACGGGAGCCCGATCACGCGCGAGCGCATCCAGGAGCTGCTCCAGAAGGCGGCGGGGCTGGAGGGCTACCCGTAAGAGCCGTTCGCTCCGCATCGGCGGGGCGACCGCCCTCTACCACTGCTTCCAGGACACCGAACTGGTGAAGGGGTGGGGGAGGTGGAACAGCGGCGCGTTCCACCAGCACTTGTGGGAGGCGAACGAGGACGCGGCAGAGGTCTCAGAAGCAACGGCCACGTCAGTGGCGACCCTGCACGTAAGCCGCTGGGCCCCCGCAGGAGGATGAGGGAGTGGAGCTGCACCAGGCCAGGGCAGGATTGTCATCAGTCTGGGGGATGCTGACCTGAGGCAGAGCCAGAGGAGCATGAGGCTGAAGTGCGGAGCTGCGAAGGGCCAGCGCAGGATTGTCAGCAGTCTGGGGATTGCTGACCCGAGGCAGCGCCAGAGGCACGGCACAGCCAGGAGGTGACGGGGCGTCGTCCGCCAGAGCTGTCCCCGAGGAGAGGTGGAGGTGAGGTGTCGGGGCGTAGTCCGCCAGAGCGGTCCCCGAGGAGATGAGGAGTGGTGGCCGGAGGGCCGCTGAGGGCGACACAGATGTGCGCGCGGACGAGGATCGCCGCGCCTGTGATGCCAAAAAGAGCGCTTCCCTGGACAGTCCGTCGTTGCCTTTGGTTCTGGGCGCGCGGGAGTGAAGATAACCCGCGTCGCTCGGGGCCGCTCGCTGTCCAGGGGCTTTTGCTTTGAGCCTGGGAAGTGGGCGCAGCAGGCGCCCACGTGTCGGTTTACCAGGCACGGGCCCACTCAAACGCGGAGGAGGCAGGCGGAGGCAGGCGGAGGAGACAGGCGGAGGAGGCAGGCGGAGGAGGAGGAGGAGGAGGAGGAGGAGGCCTAGCGCTGCGAGCTGCCCCCCCCCCCCGACCCCCCGCGCCTGGGCCTCGGGCGCCCAGGGCCCGTCGAAGCCCCCGCGGCCGCGGCGCGGCGCGGCGCCGGCGCGCCGAGGCCGCCGCGGAGCCCCGCGCGCCGCCCAGGCTCCGCCCGCCAGGCAGGCGGCCGCGGCAGCGGCCCGCCAGCTGCGCCCGCGGCGGCGGTGCGCCGCGCGAGGGCCGCGGCTGGCGGGGCGCCGCCGCAGAGGCCTGGGGAGCGACGAGCCTTCGACCCACGGTCCTCCTCCTCCTCCTCCTCCTCCTCCTCCTCCTCCTCCTCTCCTCCCCTCCTCCTCCCTCCTCCTCCTCCTCCTCCTCCTCCTCCTCCTCCTCCTCCCTCCTCCTCCTCCTCCCTCCTCCTCCTCCTCCTCCTCCTCCTCCCTCCTCCCTCCTCCTCCTCCTCCTCCTCCTCCTCCTCCTCTCCCTCCTCCTCCTCCTCCTCCCTCTCCTCCTCCTCCCTCCTCCTCCTCCCTCCTCCTCCTCCTCCTCCTCCTCCTCCTCCTCCTCCACTCCTCCCCCTCTCCCCCTCCACCTCCTCCTCCTCCTCCTCCTCCCTCCTCCTCCTCCTCCCCCTCCTCCTCCTTCCCTCCTCCTCCTCCTCCTCCTTCCTCCGTCCTCCTCCTCCTCCTCCTTTCCCTCCCTCCTCCTCCTCCTCTCCTCCTCCTCCTCCTCCTCCTCCTCCTCCTCCTCCTCCTCCTCCTCCTCCCTCCTCCTCCTCCTCCGCTCCTCCTCCTCCTCCTCCTCGCTCCTCCTCTCCCCTCCTCCTCCTCCTCCTCCTCCTCCTCCTCCTCCTCCTCCTCTTATTGTTATTATTAGTAGCGTTATTCGTGATAGTATGAATGTGCTCAGTAGTAGTAGTGTTATTCATATTAGTCTTATGAAAATCAATCATAATCTTATCAGTAGTGTTATTAATACTGTTAGCAACATTAGTCGTTATTAGTAGTATTCGTATGGTTATTAGCCGTATAAGTATTATGAGTATTCGTATTCGTATTAGTAGTATTAGTATTAGTAATGCTAGTATTAATAATTACTATTATTATTAATAGTAGTAATAGTAGTAATAGTAGTGTTCGTACGAATAATAATAGTAGTAGTGGTAGTAGTAGTAGTAGTAGTAGTAGTAGTAGTAGTAGTAGTAGTAGTAGTAGTAGTACTAGTAGTAGTAGTAGTAGTAGTAGTAGTAGTAGTAGTTAGTAGTAGTAGTAGTACTAGTAGTAGGTAGAAGTAGTAGTAAGTAGTAGTAGTAGCAGCAGTAGTAGTAGTAGCAGTAGTAGTAGTAGTAGTAGTTGTAGTTGTAGTAGTAGTAGTAGTAGTAGCAGTAGTAGTAGTAGTGTTCGTAGTAGTGGTATTAGTACTATCACTATGATTAGTATTATTAGTAGTAATCGCATGCTTATCATTAGTATTATTAATATGACTCTTCAGCTGCACGATCAGTATGTTTAGTATTAGTCATACTTTTCTTATTCTTATTACTCGTATTATTAATATGATTCGTATTACGTTCTTATGGTTCGTATAAGTTGTATGCTTCTTCTCCTGCTGTTTAATATGCTTATTAATATTAACATGCATATTCTTTTTCATATTATTATTCCTCCTCCTCCTCCTCCTCCTCCTCCGCCTCCGCCTCCGCCTCCGCCTCCGCCTCCTCCTCCTCCGCCTCCTCCCCCTTTTTGCCTCCTCCTCCTCTTCTTCATATTAGTATTAGTATTATTCTTAATATTATTATTCTTCATATTACTATGATTATGATTATGGTTCGTCTTCTTCTCCTTCGTCTTCTGATTATTCAGATTAGTATTCGTCTTATGCTTGTTCTTCTTCTGCTTATTATTTTTAGTAGTATTAATCCTCCTCCTCCTCCTCCTCTCCTCCTCCTCCTCCTCTCCTCCTCCCCCACCTCCCCGCCGCCTCCTCCTCCTTCTCTTCCTCGTCCTCCTCCTCCTCCTCCTCCTCCTCCTCCTCCTCCTCCTCCTCCTCCTCCTCTCCTCCTCCTCCTCCTCCTCCTCCTCCTCCTCCTCCTCCTCCTCCTCCTCCTCCTCCTCCTCCTCCTCCAACTGGTGCCTGGCACCTGGTGCCTGGAGGCGACAGGATCAGTCGGACGACGCCCTCCCGTGGGAACGACTCCACGAGGGCCTGAGTCAGATACAGGTGCCAGGGCCCTGGAAAAGTGAGGCTGGATGGCTTGCCCTGGACGTGGCCCTGACTCGTCTGGCCAGGCATCCCGAGTGGGTGGGAGAAGTCCTCTGGCAAGCCTATCCAGCGCGTTCTTGCCAGCAGTTGTTGAGCGCAAGCATTCCTTCCCCAAGCTATTGAAGCGAGTGTTCCCCGAACCACCACACACTGCGCACCACCACAGCCCGCGCAGGCACCGAATCCTGTGGACACTGTGGATCTGGACGACGCCTCCCCGTCCTCCTCCTGCTCCTCCTCCTCCTCCTCCTCCTCCTCCTCTTCCTCCTCCTCCTCCTCCTCCTCATCCTCCTCCTCCTCCTACTCCTACTCCTTCTCCTACTCCTACTCCTACTCCTACTCCTACGCCCACGCCTACTATTCTTACTACTGCTACTACTACTACTACTACTACTACTACTACTACTACTACTACTACTACTACTACTACTACTACTACTACTACTACTACTACTAGCTACTACTACTACTACT